CGAAATATGTTGGGCCCGGGGCCCCGTAAAACCTTAAGACGGCCCTGTTCGTAATATTTATCGATTTATATACTCATTATTTTGTACAAATATACTTATTTTCAAGGAAATTTAGGTTGGGAAAAGGGCATTTTTTTTTCTTGAGTATTTCAATATATTTGCAAAATTTCTAAATATAGTGGAACCTCGATAAGTCGAAAACCTTTATAAATCGAAAAAAATTCTGTTCCCTTGCGTAAACCTCAATTACTCAAAAAAAAAACTATAGATAACTCGAACATATTGTGCTCCGAATATGGAAGGATAATGACGGATAGCTTTTTGAACATTTGTCTAAACATTCCGATGATTTTTTTTCTAATCACATTTATTTTGTTTGTTACCGTATATATTAACTAATCTCGGCACACAACAGTATTTTTCATTTGTATAGGTATTGCCAGTTGTGCTGGCGCTAGGGGAGGACAAATAGGATATTTGTCCAGGGCCCCGCGCTTGTTAAAGGGCCCCTGTGATTTTAAATTATCATCTTAATACCGTGAGACACATTGACATTTTATATCCTAAAGGCTAATGTCCTGGGCCCCGCGATATCTAGCGCCGCAACTGATCGCCAGTTGCTACTTAAACACTTTAATACATACATACATTTTAATAACTCTTTAAGTCGAATTTTTTTTCTAAAACCTTGGTAACTCGAAAACCTCAGCAAGTCGAAACCTCGAAAGTCGAAAAAAATTGCATTTCCCTTGAATTTCGACTTATCGAGGTTCCACTGTATATCTCTGCAGACACCCATTAAGTTAAATGTTTTGTTCCAAAAAAATATGAATATAAAAATATTTATGTCCATAAATTTTAAATATTTAAATAACCATAATTTTTTAAATATTATGAAATCGCTAAATTTAATTAGTTGTCCCACCTTTTCAAAAGTTGAAATGACGCCCCTGCCTAAAGGCTATAATTAATAATATACATTAGGGATTGGGGACAATTAAACACCAAAATATTTAAAAATAAAATTAAGGGGGTTAGTTCGGGGCCACTGATTTTTCTTAGGGGGATAGGCCCTCTAACACAGCCCTTTAGTGACATACATGGACAGTGGAATGAAATGAAGATTAACATTATTATACCCAGTTCCGTGCCTAGCATAATTAGCGCCCGGTGCCAAAAATCATTTTTAGCGCTCTCATCACTCTACAAAGTAATTTTTATCCTATAATTATAGCTAAGCTTAAACTATAAGGAGATTACTTAAGAATATGGGGTTGTATATAACTACTTATTTTGTATTTATTAAATGAATAAAATAAATAATCAACGACTAAAGAACAATGTAAGTAATATAACTCAATCTGATTCTTGGACGCCATATTTTCTCACTCTGGTCTACCTACTTGAACAAGTTACCCACAAATTTCATCTCTAGATTTAAATCTATAGTTCCCGTTATACCAGACGAAAAAAGGTTCAACGATCTCACTCTTTCCAGATCCCTCGCAATCAAATTTAACCGCTTACGCACTGGCCATCATCTCTTATCATGTTGCTTGCAAATTCAATCTTAATGTTTCCCTTTCAGTGGTGCAATTATCGGGAGTATTGGGTGTACAATTCACAGAGACCTCCGGTTTTGGGGGGCCTCGAGATCTCTTCTGATATTTCCTTTGTCCCTTACAATATTTCTACTATAATCTGTAATATACACATATTATGTTGTCTGTTTTCATATAATAACTACAAATAATAATATAAGTCTGGGCATTTTCACATAGACCCCTTATCGTTAAGTTGCGCCAATGTTCTCTTCTCTGCACTCTATTTAGAAAAAAAAATCTATATTCTATCTTATATTCTCTTTGACTGCCTTTCCTAACCAACCAAACGCAATGTCCTAATTAGTCTCTCAATAACCCATTCAATACTTTCAGCATTCTAAATTTCAAAATCTGCTCTCATTCTAATTATTTCTTTCATTCACGAGGCTTATTTCTGTATACAATTTTTTATTATTTTAATAATTTTATGAATGGTATATTATTGTCAATTTATCATCTCGTCGATTTCTGTACAAAAATAAATTAGCAACACCGCCGATCAAGATAATATTAATGAGGTCGACTACGCGTGAGACCATGGCATTAAACGTGTTAAATATTTTGAATTAAATAATATGGTTAACTTTCAGTAATTTTACTTAAATTATGAAAAGTTTTTGGCGCCCCAGTGTTAATGGCACCCGGTGCACACGCAGCTCTCGCACCCTCCTAGGCACGGCTCTGATTATACCTACGTAGTCAATTGACTTACACAAGTGGTGAACTAGTATTTAGTCTTATTATTATACCCAATAGCTAATAGGTATATTCAATGACACCAATCCCTATATTTAAGTATGAAGACTGCTAATTGTTAATGAAAATAAGTGGTTTGATGGAAATCACATAATACATATGCATTCCTAACGTACGTTATAAGTTATAAATAAATACAATAACAATAAGACATAATGCATATGATGACATTTTTAAATAGGTTTATTGATCAAAAAATATGTTGAAACTTGGATGAATTCAAAATCATTAGTACAATAATCCGTTGGGTTAAATAGATATTGTATAACAAAAATGAAATCAGTGAAAGTGTAGCTTACCCATTTTAAACATATGATACATAGATAATATGCGTTTTTATCAGAACTTGAAGGTTATTAATATATGATAATAAATACATATTTTATTAATTGTAGAAATTGTAACTACATTTTATAAATTATAAATTCAATACTACAAATAACTTAAATTTTGGGAAAAATGGCTACCCGAGAAGCTTCTAAATATGCTACAAAAGTAGTTAGACCATTGTTATCTTCTGATAAATCAGAAGCGAAAAAAAGAGTATTGCATTTATACAAAACCTTCTATAGACAAATCCCTTTGATGTGTAAGTAATAATATTATAAGCTAATTGCTAACATATATTAATCATTTTTTTTTGTTCTAGTATTTGATAGACATTTACCCGTGACAAAAGAAGAATGTCAAAACAAATTAAAAGAGGAGTTCTTAAAAAATAAACATATAACTGATGTTAGAATAATTGATATGTTAGTGATTAAAGTAAGTGGAAAAACTATATAATTTTAAAAGTACACTATTAATAATATTTTTTACTAATAATTCTTAAAAATTGGTACGAAATAAGTTTCAATTTAGATAAATAATAAATTAAATAATTTTTATGTACCTACAATCTTTCATACTAATAATTAAAAATTAAATTATAAACAAGTTTTTCTAAGTAAACTAAATGCTTCATATATAATTTATTATTTTATTTAAATCATATCTTTTACACAATTGTAGTGTCTAATTTGAAATATTATGTTGCGTATAGTTAATTTTTTTTTATAAATACTATCCAAAATATTTAGAAAGTGTATAAAAACTTAATTTTTCTTAGCCAAGCGTAAATATATTTTAATGCTATAGACCAGGGATAGCCAATTTTTATAGACTTGTGATTGATTTGTGTGTGAGAGGGGTTAAAGAGTCTAAGCTGTCACCGATTGATCAAAAAAAAAAAAAAATTCAAATCTTGAGGGTGCTACAGTTATAAACTTAAACTATCGTGTGGAGCTCTGCCCCCAAACCCTTCAACTTTACATAATCCCAGTATATAGATTATACTATTAATGTATTCGCAATATCATTTTTGGAAAAAATATAAAACACAATTAATTTTTGTTATTATAGTATTTGATTATATTACATTCTAAAGTGTCAAACATAATTTTCTATCAACATTTGCAAATTCATTTAATATTTCTTCAGATATAATGGCATTGGCTAGGTCTCTCTCAATATTTATAACATTTAATTAATAATATATCTCTACCAAAGTATAGTATTGAATATATCTGTGCTTATATCACTATAATATTGATAATATGATATAATATACCAAGGTGGGATATATACAAGGCTGGGCAAGTTAAATTTTTTTTTTAACTCAGGTAAGTTAATTTGCACCAATAACAAGTTAAAAGTTAATTTTTTTAAAGGTTAACTCAGTTAAAAATTAATACACATTTTTTTTAAATTTTATATTAAGTTAACAAGCTCAAAACTTATTTATAGATAGACTATGACTTAGTGTTTATTATACTTTATAAAAATACAATACTTCCATATAGTGTATTGTATTCAATTGAAATGTATATAATTTAATAATTATATATTTTTAGTTTATACCCATTATATACAAACTAACTTAAAATTATATTAAAAATGAAAATATAATAAGTTATAATAGTTGGATAATATTTTAACATATACATTATTCATATAGATATACTTAAACTATAAGTATAAACCTAATATCATAATTGGAACATTTCTAGTTTATGGGACACCCAAAAATTTGACAATTTTTTGGAGGACCGTTGTTAATTTTAGGTGAAAAAAATGATGGTGAAATTAAAATTTGGCGCAAGAACTTAGTTTTGAAATCATAGTATATATTAAAATTTTTAACCTTACTCTAAAACTCTTAATTACTAATTTTTCTATAAGAGTAGCATTTAAAAGCATTACGCAATGGTAGCTGCATCGTTTATTTATCCACGTAACCGAGTTCGATCTCAGCATGGATTATATAAAATTTTGCACTTTTTTTTTTCAACAATATTTTTGTATCTGGTTTGATCTTTTATCGTAATGAAAATTGTTTGCATTTTTTTTTCGAAAAATTGGAACTAAAAACTTAAAAATTTTAGGACTTCGCTCGTTATGCCTGCCGGCTCCACTCACTAACTCGAGTGCCACTGCGTGGCATTTTTCGGGGGGATGGGGCTTCGCCCTAAGAGGAATTATAGTTTAAACCTAACCTAATTTTTTTACAAACCTTTTGATACTGTTGTAAATGGAATTAAGCTCTGTATGTGAACCTAAAACCTCGCACACTGTTACTATTAATTTTACAACTGATTACTGATAAAATTACAGACGGCGGCGACCAATATAATACCAGGCACGGCATAGAAAATAGCAACGTTTTAATTTTTCGTATTTTTTTTTCAACATTATCAAGCCCTCCCCCCTGAAATATTGTCACGCCATCCTAGGGGGAGTGCGCCCTCAGGTTGAGAACCACTGCTACAGACCATCATGATATCATTGGCTATAATATAAGTTATTAGCACTTGAGTTGTGTTTTGTGTAATAATTGTTATTTTAACCATTGGCGTAACTTGGAAATTTATTAGGGTGGGCAAAAATATAATTACATATCTAACAAAAAGGGTGTACGAGGTTAAATGCCTCTTTACTACTTACATATTATTTTATAAAATAGTAATAGCTATAACCAGCTGTTTTGTACTTATTTTAAAACAAGGTATGTTAAATACCAGATGAGGCACTGCCCCTCCTAATTTTTTCTAGGGGTGCAATCGACCCCCCCCCCCCCGTTTACGACTATGATTTTAAGCATTAACTAATATCTTTATATTCCCTTCTTATCAAATTACATTTGTAAATAATTTTTAATTAAAAAATATATTGTATTTATATTAATTAATGATTCATATTTGATATGTATTATCAATATTTCCTGCAAAAATTGCGATCAGCTAAATATAAATTGATCAGACAATCTTTATCATAATATTTTTTTTTTTTTTCAATCTTTAGATTGGTTAAATGACTTTGATGGCTCACCACTTATCCCTATCCATTACAGCTACTTTTAGTTCCTTATAGTTGGTTTCCCCTATATCGTCTATGATCTGTTTCATAAATGGTGTTCTTGGTCTACCTCTTCCAGCTTTTCCTTCTATTATTGTCGTTATCCATTCATTATTTCTCATATGTCCAATCCATTTTTTCCTCCTTTCTTTAATTGTCGTCCATATTGCTTTTTGTTCATTCTTAGGTATACTTCCTCATTTTTAACTTTCTCTGTCCAAGAAATTTTCAGTGCTCTTCTCCAACACCATGCTTCAAATGCTTCAATCTTTTTTCTTTCCGCTTTTAATATCGTCCATGTTTCTGCCCCATAGAGAGCTATACTCCATACAAAACTCTTTATAAGATTTTTCCTGGTGTTTAAGCTAACAGTGTTTGCCGTTAATAGGTGTTTCTTTTGGTAAAATGCCTGTTTTGCTTGTGCTATTCTGCTCTTTATGTCCATTTCGCTTCTTCCATCAT